CATATTTTTTCAAGGTAAAGTGTTACATTTACTTTATGATTTCATTATTAAATATGAATGTAACATTTATTTAGACTGTGCTATCCTTTGTGTTAGGCTAACTACTAAATTTTTTCGATTTCGAGTAATCTGCACCTAACCCTATTTTCTCCATAAGCCCTGTTATTTCTATTACGCGATTTTCTATAACACGATATTTTACAAGAACACAATTATCGCGTTATAGCAGAACTACCTGTACATCATTTCAGCAAAAATATTACATTTCCGTGAATGCATTATATCAACACAGTATGAATAGAATACCATTGTAATATCCAATATTTTAACCAAAAACTATTAAAAAAACGAGTAACTTCTCTTGAACATCGGAAGGTTAGGTAAAATCTTTTGTTTTCGTCATGTATTTTATCCTATTTTACATTAAAATACATCACGTTTCAGCAAAACTACTATTTATTTCCGAGAATATATTCATTCAGGCACAGTTAAGGTAAAATATACATGTGATGTAACAGTTTTTTAACTGAAAACGATTCGAAAAACACGTGTACCGTCTAGCTGATACAACAGCTGGTGGTGCGTCATGCTCATTGTAAACAATAGGAGGTTGAAGTAGATTACCGGGTATTATATTAAGTGTGAAATATCGAAAAGGTTTTTGTTACCGGTATTTTTTGTAGATCAATGAGAACTGTGATACCGTATATGATATGATAAGTTAGCCTGTGCTAAGAACTTCAACATAGACTACTGAAAGCACGTTGTAAGGTAATTTAGCCTATTGTAAGTTGGTGAGCTTCATTTGCTGAAGGAACTGCACAACTTTTCATTACTAATTGGTACATATTTTACATTTCCATTGTTTACTGGCAGTAAATGGTAAATATTTTTCATGTCTGAAGCTAAAAGTTGCTCCTCGCCCTTCCCATCATGCACGGGTTCAACCTAACAAAACTATTACGCATGTAGAGGTCGACCCCCAATTTTTTGCCTAAAAATTTGGTCTTAAAAACTCGAACTATACACGAGTATATAAGGTATATTCAATTTATGATTTATGAGTTGCATTCATAAGGTGTCTTTATAAACTGGCTTTAAGATTAGAAAGCAAAGTATCGCACTTAGTTTGGGCCTAAGCTTTGGTCTATTTCAGGCCTCTAATCTTTGAAAGAAGCCAAAATAGAGGCACATCACTGTTAATGATGAAACTGGACTTTATGTCAAGGAAATACTCATGCCAAAAAAGAAGCTTCTAACTTCACTTTAAGCTGTTGAATTCCATTTATATATTTTTTTATAGCGTAAATAACACACTACATTGTCGTTGTATAACTGAAGTACAGTAAAAGTCCAAAAATCCGGATGCCAGAAATCCGGACCACCCGAGAATCCGGACTTTTCGAAAACTATTTTTTTTAGCGGGCTTTTGTGTGTATGTGCGCATGCGTGAGCGCCACAGCTGCACAGCGACAACAAGCGACCTCGTGGTCGCCACTTTAAAACGAGCAATCAAACTGTGACAACATACCGTATATTCTCGTCTATAACCCCCCTCGTTTATAGGTTGAGCCTGGTTTTTTGACCAAGAAATCGTTAATTCATGATATTCCTCGTTTATAGTTCGACCCACGTTTTTGAGGGTAATGGAATAGCAAAACCTTCAGTAAAAACACTACGTCCTATAAACCGAGGCTCGCCGTGCCTGAAACACGAGTGCCGAAGGCAAATTGTTTACCATTTATTATTACGACGCTTTACACTGAAACGCGGGTAGTTTCAACAAAAATATTGTATATTTCCATTCAAATATTTATTCAAGTCAATTAGGAGGGAATATTATTGTAATACAGTTTTTTAACTAAACCATTCGAAAAGCGATTACGGTAACATCTTTTGAACGAAAGAAAGCGAAAGTCATTGTTTTCGTCAAGATTTGATCCCACTTTCCACTGTAATACGTACGTAATTTCAGCAAAAATATTACATTTCCGTGAATGTATTATATCAAGCACAGTATGAATAGAATATCATTGTAATATAACAGAATTTTAACCGAAAACTATTAAAAAAACGAGTAACATCTCCAGAACATCGGAAGCTTAGGTAAAGTCTTTTGTTTTCGTCATGTATTTTATCCTATTTTACATTGAAATACATCACGTTTTAGCAAAACTACTATTTATTTCCGAGAATATATTCATTCAGGCACAGTTTAGGTAAAATATACGTGTGATGTAATAATTTTTTAACTAAAAACGATTCGAAAAACACGTACCCTCTAGCCCTGTTCAAGGAGAGGACAGGGAGAAGCTGTTTGGTGCTGCAGACGATGAAAAGGAAAATGATTTTGATGGATTTTAATGAAAATATTCAGAAATATGGTATCGTAGTATTTATTCAAGTCAATTATGATAGAATATTATTGTAATACAACAGTTTTTTAACTGAAAACCATACGAAAAACGATTACGGTAACATCTTTTGAACGAAAGAAAGCGAAAGTCATTGTTTTCGTCACGATTTTATCCCACTTTCCACTGTAATACGTAAGTCATTTCAGCAAAAATATTACATTTCCGTGAATGCATTATATCAAGCACAGTATGAATAGAATACCATTGTAATATAACAATATTTTGAGTCTTACTCTTTCCATTTACAGAGTACTGTACAAGCCCATAATAATGGCTCCTAAAGTAGATAAACTTAGTTGTGTGAAGAGAAAGAAGAACACGTTGAAATTGAGTGACAAACTTGAAATAATTAAGAAACTAGAACGTAGTGTGAGCAATACTGTTCTAATGGAAACATACGACATTGGAAAGTATACAATTTATGATATAAAAATGGCAAAGAATAAAATTCTATAATTCACAGCTTTTTCACTAAAACTGCTCGTTTTGATAAATGAAGCATGCTATATTTGCTAATGAATAAACTATCAAAATGTACCTGTTCATCTCTTCTTTATTCCTCCTTAAATTTGGATTTTAAAAGTACTGCCTGAGAATCCGGAAAATCCGAAAATCCGGACCAACCCAATCCCCAAGCAGTCCGGATTTTTGGACTCTCTTTCGTTAATAAAAATTTTAAAATTTACAAAAAGCGTTAGTTGCAATAAAACAAAAATGTAATTAATTGTTAGCTTTATTACTTACAGGCAAATTTGCCACCGTTGCTGCTTCAAAGCAAAATTCTAATTTTAAATTATGTAAGTAAATTATGATAAAGAATACAACAATTACCCCAAATAAAAACCTTTTTATATAAATTCTTACACTTCTATTTTGAGAAACTTGAAGGTACCCTGATTGATGTATAACATTAGAATACAAACCTTGACCCCCAAAATGTTCGGATCATCCATAGTCACCAACCTTCATACATGCGCCGGCAGTTTTTAACCTAACATGACTCAAATTAAATGTAGATAAAAAAGGTATAAACCACATAGACCAGTGGCATTAATGGTAGAGAAAAACTGGGAGGTAAGCAAATGGCAGCTTTCTTACTTGTAAAAGTCCACGAGATCTAAAAAAGAATTCTTTAGTAGATCACATACAGACTGTATGTGATCTGCTAAGAAACTCTTTAGACTCGTGAAACTTCCCCCAACCATTTGCTACTAACATTCTGACTGCATACAATACTAGACATATAAATACTACTACACTATAACTTTTTAATCTACATAACCTATAATTAACACTTATAATATTTAGTAAATAACCGAACAAAGCACCAAACACTCTTAGTCCTAAAGGCTAACACCTTGAATGTAAAGAGGTAGGACAAATTATATACAGTAATACCCCGCCCTCTGTGGTTTCATATAGTTTTTATCATATCTGCGGTGCCTGTAGAGCGAACTTTCATAACACGGATTTTCCACATATACGCGGTGAGTGTCGGCTCCAAACGCTATTTTAGGTGCCCCACCCTGCCTGACTGCCTGTTTTAGCTCATAAAATTCATACAAATTACCCGGTCAGAATATAATTTACATTACTGGAATTCTTATAATTTGGTGATCATTTTGAATATAAACATCATATATTTTGCATTAGACATACAAATTTTAGATAAAAAATTTTCTCAGAGTAACTATGTTATCTTTTGTGCAAAATATATGACATTTATATTCAAAATATTCCTGGTCTTACAAGGAATCCAGCAATGTCAATTATATTATCCTAACTTTAATCTGAGGTATTATTTAATACTAAATGTTAAAAACTCTGGAAGGGAGGATTGGTGGGGGGTGGGGGGAGGGTTGGGACTGACCGCGCGGTTGGAAGAGGGGAGGAGGCAAGGTGGGGTACTTTGATTGATAGATAGTGTCGTGAAGATTATTTTTTTTTTTATTAACTGAAGATATTTGTTTTAGCTCATAAAATTCATACAAATTACCCGGTCAGAATATAATTTACATTGCTGGAATTCTTATAATTTGGTGATCATTTTGAATATAAACATCATATATTTTGCATTAAACATACAATTTTTAGATAAAAATTTTCTCTAGGTAACTATGTTATCTTTTGTGCAAAATATATGACATTTATATTCAAAATATTCCTGGTCTTACAAGGAATCCAGCAATGTCAATTGTATTATCCTAACTTTAGTTTGAGGTATTATTTATTAAAATTTAGTGGTTTTCCCCCAAAAATTTCTCTGAGAGGGAAGAGCCGGCAGTGTAGTGTGAGAGTGGGAGGGAGTTGAGTCCATTATTTGAATGGACATTAACTTGGCGACTGTATTTCTCTATTTTTCTTAAGTATTAATTGTGTGCATGTACCATCATAAAATTAAGATGTTATTTTTACTACAACATAGGTATGTGCCTTCTAAAAGTGGAGTTTGGGGGTCGGGCCGGTTTCTATTGGAATTAATCCCATATGTTCTGTTGTTCACTTAACGCGGATTTCACTTAACGCGGGACCCTCTGGGTTCAATTGACCGCGTTAAGTGGGGTACAACTAACCCCTTGACTCAGGAAAAATAACCCAAGATAAAATAGCTCCCCCTGTGACACCACCAACTCTTAGTCTCATCATTGATGTGGTCATTACAACTCTTTTATCGTTAACCCGACTTATTCTCCTTACATTAAATAAACCCGTTAAACTGTAATAAACTAAACGATATCTATAACACGCCGTTAACCCTGTGGCCAAAGGATATCAAATAAATGCCAATAAATTAATATTTCTTATAAAAGCTACTTCTAAAATTAAATCTTTAGAAGAAAACCCAGCCAAAAATGGTATTCCACATAAAGTTAAATTAGCCAAATTTATACAAGTTCTAGTTAAAGGTATCCTAAAAACTAATCTACCCATACAGCGAATATCTTGATACTCTTAGACCGCACGAATAACTACTCCAGCACATATAAACAATAATGCCTTAAATAAAGCATGAGCCAATAAATGAAAAAAGGTTAAATCAGCAAAACCAAAGGCTAAAAGTCCTTAATATTACACCAAGCAATAATCTTCTTCAAATCATATTCAACGTTAGCACCTAGTCCTGCTATAAATATTGTTAAACAAGAAATAATTAATAAAACAGATTGAGCTTCTGACCCTATTAAAGCAGGACTAAACTGAATTGGTAAATAAACACCTCCTGTAACCAAGGTAGAAGAATGAACTAAAGCAGATACTGGAGTAAGAGTTGCCATAGCAGCTGGAAGTCAGGCTGCTAAAATAATTAAACCTTTTATTAATAATAAATCAGACTCGCTTGTATATCTTCCGTATAAAATAAAATTTCACCCTTCAGCTATAAACATTAAAGAAATCCTAAGCAGAATAGCGACATCACCAACTCGATTAGATAAAACTGTTAATATACTTGCATTTGCAGATTTTTCGTTTGGGTAAAAAATAACTAAAGCGTATGATACTAATCCTAAACCATCCCAACCCAATGAAATTCTGATTATGTTTGGCCTTACAATTAAAGCACCTTTGGATAATACAAAGGCAAGAACTAAATATATAAAACGATTAAACCTTTTATCTCCCTCTATATAGTCGCCTCTATAAAATAATACTATTGAAGAAATAAAAAGAACAAAATCTAAATATATAAAAGAAATTCAACCAAAAATTAAAGTCATTACAACTGAAGAAGAATTTAAAGTTATAATTTCTCATTCAATTATTCCTACACTATTGTAATATAAACTTATAAGAGACAATAAAATACAACTAAAAGCCCTACTGCATAAAAATACTAACCAAGTTAAATGTATAGAAATATATCAAATAAAGGTTTAAAATAAATAACTTATAATTTTGGCACCACAAACCAACGTTTTTATTAAACTATTTAAACTAAAATCTTGGTAAAATTATAACTAAAACAGCACCAAAGCAGCACTAAAAAAGCACCATGACAACACCAAGACAGCACTAAAACAGCACCATAACATAACGAAAAGAGCACCAAGACGGCACCATGACAGCACTTAAATAGAACCATGACATCACTAAAACAGCACCAAGACAGCATCATGGCAGCACTTAAACAGAACCATGACAGCACTAAAACAGAACCATAACAGCACCACCATGACAGCACTAAAACAGCAACAAGACAGGAGTAAAAAAGCACCAAGACAGCTCCATGACAGCACTAAAACAGCACCAAGACAGCATCATGACAGCACTAAAACAGCACTATGACATCACGAAACAGCACCAAGACAGCATCATGGCAGCACTTAAACAGAACCATGACAGCACTAAAAACAGAACCATAACAGCACCACCATGACAGCACTAAAACAGCACCAAGACAGCACTAAAACAGCAACAAGACAGGAGTAAAAAAGCACCAAGACAGCACCATGACAGCACTAAAACAGCACCAAGACAGCATCATGACAGCACTAAAACAGCACTATGACATCACTAAAACAGCACCAAGACAGCATCATGGCAGCACTTAAACAGCACCAAGACAACACTACAACCGAACCAAGACAGCATAATGACAGCACTAAAACAGCACCATGACAGCACTAAAACAGCAACAAGACAGCACCATGACAGCACTAAAACAGAACCAAGACAGCAGTAAAAAAGCACCAAGACAGCTCCATGACAGCACTAAAACAGCATCAAGACAGCACCATGACAGCACTGAAACAGCATCAAGACAGCTCCATGATAGCACTGAAACAGCACCATGACAGCACTAAAACAGCACCAAGACAGCACTAAAACAGCAACAAGACAGCAGTAAAAAAGCACCAAGACAGCTCCATGACAGCACTAAAATTGCACCAAGACAGCACCATGACAGCACTAAAAAAACAGCACCACTGACAGCACTAAAAACGCACCAAGACAGCACTAAAACAGCAGCTAAAAACAGCTCCATGATAGCTTTCAAAAAAACAGCATCACCACAGCTCCATCGCCAACACTAAAACAGCACCAAAGACAGCTCCGCTGACAACTTTAAAAACAGCACCATGACAGCACTGAAACAGCAACAAGACAGCAATAAAAAAGCACCAAGACAGCTCCATCACAGCACTAAAACAGCACCAAGACAGCCCCATGACAGCACTAAAACAGAGCCAAGACAGCATAATAACAGCTGTAAAACAGCACAAAGACAGCTACAAGACAGCACTAAATCAGCAACAAGACAGCAGTAAAAAAGCACCAAGACAGCTCCATCACAGCACTAAAACAGCACCAAGACAGCCCCATGACAGCACTAAAACAGAGCCAGGACAGCATAATAACAGCTGTAAAACAGCACAAAGACAGCTACAAGACAGCACTAAATCAGCAACATGACAGCACTAACACAGCAACAAGACAGCACCATGACAGCACTAAAACAGCACCATGACATTACTAAAACAGCACCAAGACAGCACCATGACAGCACCAAGGCATCACCATGACAGCACTGAAACAGCACTAAAGCAGCACCAAGACAGCACCAAGACATCACTATAGCAGCACCATGACAGCACTAAAACAGCACCATGACAGCACTATAGCAGCACCATGACAGCACTATAGCAGCACCATGACAGCACTAAAACGCGCATGACAGCACATAGCAGCACCATGACAGCACTATAACAGCACCATGACACAACATGACAGCACTATAGCAGCACCATGACAGTACTAAACAGCACCAAGACAGCACCATGACAGCACTAAAACAGCACCGCAACATCACTAAACAGCACCATGACAGCACTAAAACAGCACCATGACATCACTAAAACAACACCATGACATCCTAAAAACTGCACCATGACAGCACTAAACAGCACCATGACAGCACTATAGCAGCACCATGACAGCACTCAAACAGCACCATGACAGCATATAGCAGCACCATGACATCACTAAAAAACAACACCGACATCACTAAACAACACCATGACATCACTAAAACAGCACCATGACATCAGTAAAACAACACCATGACATCACTAAAACAGCACCATGAGCATCCCATAAACAGCACCATGACAGCACTAAAACAGCACCATGACATCACTAAAACAGCACCATGACAGCACTAAAACAGCACCATGACATCACTAAAACAGCACCATGACATCACTAAAACAGCACCATGACAGCACTAAAACAGCACCATGACATCACTAAAACAGCACCATGACATCACTAAAACAGCACCATGACAGCACTAAAACAGCACCATGACATCACTAAAACAGCACCATGACATCACTAAAACAGCACCATGACAGCACTAAAACAGCACCATGACAGCACTAAAACAGCACCATGACATCACTAAAACAGCACAATGACATCACTAAAACAGCACCATGACATCACTAAAACAGCACCATGACATCACTAAAACAGCACCATGACAGCAATAAAACAGCACCATGACAGCACTAAAACAGCACCATGACAGCACTACAGCAGCACCATGACAGCACTGGCACAAATATCTAGCAAAGTGTATAACTCATTTATCAACAGTTATGTGAGTAATCGAACTTCAATTCATTTAATTCACTTTACACTGTACAATATCTACCCCCAAAAGTATGAAGTAAATGTCAACTACTTACCTTCTTAAGATGCACACATATAGGAGGTTCATCCCAGTCTCCTCCATTTTTACAGTGTAGTTTTAAGGGACCAAACAGACTGAAGCCCTTGTCACACATGTAGTGGGCCACAGTACCAGACTCCAGACGTTGGAATTCCACACTCCCATTTTCAAGGGGTGGAGGAAGAATGCAGAGATCTGTCTGTGTGGTTATGGACAATGATCCCTTCTTGGTCAGCTTGGTAGAACTATGATACACTACAAAAACTGTGTCAGTGTCTGTCACCATTCTAAAATCATTATCATAAGTTGGGCACCATTCAATATCCCATTTTGGGTTCATGAGAGACTCTTCAAAAACAGTAATGTGCGGCTTAATACTGAGAGAGAAGGTAAGAGTCACGTGTTTACGTTGTTCCGTGTTTAACTGCCAGACACAACTCTCTGCAGACTTATGTGGTTGAAATTTATATTCTATTTTTTCATTGGAATCATCTGGAGACCTGATCCCATCTGAGCATGTTGGAACAAGACAATGAGTTTCTGTTCCAAAAAATGTTGAGTTGACAATGCAAGTATCACCAGCCAGAGGTAAACTAACCCTGAAACCATCATCACAGTCGGAGGCTACTTCAACATCTGGCTTGTCAGTGTTCATGCTCAGACTAATATTAAACTTGGCAATATTCGGGCAAGGACTTTCTCCTTCAGAAGAAGTCTGCACTTGAGGATTCAGTTGTAAATACAATTCAAACATGATACCACTTGTTATGAGCTGACAATGGTGGCACACTGCACTGTCATTCTTGTTGGGGTACCTTAAGTTCTCTCCACTGTCACTGCTACACACTCCACAGTCTCTGGTAATATGATGCTGAGTGCCATCAACATATATCATTATTGAAGACAATCCCCCAAGTTTTATTTCATGAAGCTTCACTTCAAACTTTAAAGTGTTCGGAGCACGATAGCACTTGTAGCATAAGTGATCATTCACTTTCTGTAAGTCAGCTGAAAATAAAATAATAATATGAGCAATGGTTTCAGAATAACAGTACAGTACAGGCAGTCCCTGACTTACGACGGCAATAATGATACACAGAAAATCTAAAATGGGTGTCTCTTTTTCTTCTCAGCACCACAAAACTCTCACTTTTAAGCTTGCCAGCCATTTTAAAGGGAATTACAAACGAAAATTTTGTCAGTACACAGCGAGATCACTAACGTCGGGACTCGAAAATACGTAATTTGAAAAAAAAATTGGTACGACTGGGGCGGTCGTAAGTGGAGTAGGTCGTAAGTCGAGGAGTACCTGTACGGTACTGGAAATCCAATAATATGTAACCAGTAATAATAAAAAGTGATCATAAGAGGCAGACATAATGACTGCAAATGTATCCACATTTTATTTGGAAAAAATCGAAAACATTATGAATTAGTTCCATGGGGTGTACATTGAAGTGGGTAAAGAATGTTTGGACACTGAGGTAAGAGGAGCATGAAATGAGTTGGTCAGCACTAAAGAAAATGTTTATATACTTCAATAGTTAAACAGATTGTGGATATCAAATACTGCACCATAAACAAACTAAATTAGCCAACTGTGTGCGTGTACCCCGGGTCAGTAATTTACCCTGGGTGGAGCCACACAACTGCCTGCACTACACACAGGTGTAAAAGTTAGCGGGGCACCAGTGGTAGTCACGAGGGACCCGTTCACCCCACCTCATCTCGGTGTGGCTGACACATGCATTAAACACACGTGGCTGTGGGGGTTTGTGCCTCACTCACTTTTACACCTGCATGTGTAGTGCAAGGGGCCCAGGACCCAGGTAACTATTGACCAGGAGTACATGCACATTTTTCATCTTTAGATCAACTTAACCAACTATAAATAATGTTCTTCTTCTCATTGAGTTATCTGACAATGAGTCGTCACAATGTGAGAAATATTCTAGCATGTTGTTTTAAGAGTCTAGCTTTAAATACACTCCAGTACACGAGTGGTTTACAATGGAAGTCTTGCAATTCTGTACAGTACGCATAAAACTCTACCAATCGCTAATACTGTACAGTGCTCTATCTGATAAAACTGCCATCACAAAATGTTTGTGAAAATGTTGTCAATTATATAATGATAATATTGGTGACATAATAAAAGACGCCAAAAGTGATCTGCCTCAAGGTTAGGGTTAACAATTAACAACTAACTCCAACTGCAGCCAAGAAGGAACAGGTAAGTGAGCACAAGAGTCTGGCTCTGTGAACGAGGAATCTGAGATTAATAAACATAACAGATTAACAACAAATTCCTGACAAAGAAAAGTACACACCCTAATGTATCGGAAACAGAACTTGCCGTGGTGTGTTAAGTGTTGACTTCTTAAGAGGTGGTAATGTACTTCGACTTGGAGGCTTTCACACAAATAACTGTGATATATCACAAACAAACCTCCAAACACCACAATGAATAAGAGTGTCATCTGAGAGAATTTTCCCTCATCCACAATAATGACTTGTTAAGGCATGTTTCAAAATACTGTAGCATGAAAATGTGACCCAACTAATACAGTAGCTTCTGGAACAAGGAAATGTGCTCACTAGCAGAGCAGACCGAGTCCCCCCCCTGACCTGGGGCATCTTACAACTACCCACAGCAGACCGTGTCCCCCTGACCTGGGGCCCCTGACCTGGGGCATCTTACAACTACCCACAGCAGACCGTGTCCCCCCTGACCTGGGGCATCTTACAACTACCTTCAGCAGACCATAAGAACATAAGAACATAAGGAGAATGGAGGAAACCTAAATAGGGCCTATTGGACCCATAATGGGCAGTCCTGTTTATGGCTAACCCCTATTGCTCATATACATCCAACCTATGCTTCTGAAGCTATTCAGCCGATTCTATGTCTGGCGATGACATTTGGTAACTTGTCCCATTCATCCACTACTCTGTTTCCAAACCAGTGCTGCCTCAATTCCACTAAACGTTAAATTTTATTCAATTTAAAAACCATTTGCTTGAAGTTCGCCCTGCTGGATAGTTGGAGCACTTTGTAATGTCCCCTTTGGTTTAACCCCTGACTTCCATTTATACACCTCATCAGGTCGCCTCACCTCTGGCGCCTCCTTTGAGGGAGTGCAAATTAAGATACTTTAACCTGTCTCTGCATTCAAGGTCTCCAATGCCCAGGATTAGCTCCTATTCTCCTCTGATCTTTTCCTTCCCAATGATTCCCATATCCATTCTGAAATACGTGACCAGAACTGAAAGCGTAATCCAGGTGAGGTCTCACGTTATTAGATATACTTAAGATGACCTCACCAGTCTTGTAACTAACACCTCTTTGTATGAACCCATATTTTATTAGCCTTTGTTGCTTGTTAAAACACATTGTTTACTTCTACTGCAGATTCCTACTTATCATTACTCCTAAATCTCTCAAGAGTTGGATTCCATAATAAATTATTGTCGTATCTGGTAACTGGTTTCCTGTTTACATCTCCCATACTTTACATTTGGTCTAATATTGAATTTCATCTGCCATTTTTCCTAATTATCTTAAAAATTTTTTAGATCTTCCTAGTTTTGCAGAGTCCTCGCCAGATTTAATTACACGTCTCTATTTTATGTTACTGGTAAATTCCCATTATGTTACTGCTCCATTTATTATTCATGTCGCTATGTATATAATAAATAATAATAATGGTCCAAGTATCGAGCCTTGTGAACCCACTAGTATGGCTCAATGCGATTTAGTGCAGTTTATGCTCAATCGCTGTTTCTGGGTCCCTGCAACTTTACTTCTAGTCCATTTTACATATTCCTTGATGCCATGCTTTCTACCTTTCTTAATTAGGCCTTTTCGTGGGGACTCCTGTCGTATATTTTGCTAAAGTCGTAGATATACCACATCATACCAGCCTCGGCCCACCGATTCAAAAACTGATGAAAAGATGCGATAGATTAGCGATATGAACGCCTGGCCAGAAGTTAGGGTAAATTCATTGATCAATCCAGTTTTCCAGGTGGTTTGAATAGAGCGAAATAAATGACTGTACCACCATTATTGATAGTTAGACTGATTGGGCGTGTAGTTAGAGGATAGGATCTATCCCTCTTGAAAATCGGTATTACATTCGCTATCCTCCAGGATTCTGTACTACACCTGTTTTAATGACATGTTAAACAACTTCTTACATAACAGGCTAAGCTCATCCCATATTCCTTTAATACTCGGCAAATATCTCATCGGACCAGGTGGATTTATTAGGCTTCAGTTTAATTCGGTCGTTATTAACATCATATTTAGTCTCTCTATTATCTCGCTTAATTTGTTTTCTTCACTATCTCTGAATAGAGTCGGTGCCGTACTTTGCGTTTAAATTCTTTGCAGAAACTGTTGAAAAATATTTATTCAGATTATTGCTCATTTCTCCGCCAAGTATCCATTAGCTCACGGTATCTGAAACGACAGTCCGCTTAATCTATCTTTAGGTTTAGTTTGATACATTTGGTAAAAATCTTTGGGGTCGAGCCACTGCTACCTTCTAGTTCAGCAGTTCCTCTTGGTTTTTCTTATCTCGGTCTAACTCACCGCCAATACCTTTATCATACCCCTGGAGGCAAAATTTGGCTACTTACTTCTATCCTTCTACTTATAGCCTTCCTTGGCCAATTATCGATCCATTTAGGGTCATTGTTGTCTGATCTGAGTTTTTTGTATAAAGGTTTCTGCTCTTGTGCATTAAGTAACTCGTTAGCGTAACTACAGTCGTGAACTCGCAATAACAGATCTTTATCGTCGGTGTCATCTATTCACATCCAGGCGAGACACCCCCTCTCTCAGCTGCCTTAAACTACTGTAAGTTTGCCATTCTGAAATTCAGACTTTAATGGAATTCCCTTTACGCCTTGACCTGAAAATCTAACTGGAATCTAATTTTTTTTTTGTGATCGTTTTTAAAGTTCTGTTTCCCAATCAGATATTGCTAATGAGGTTTTCTGTTCGACAGAACTAAATCTAGTTTATTTGTCACCCGGTGGGTTCAAGTATGTTGACTTAGGAGACAGACTGGATCAAGCTTTCGAGGAAATCCTCTGATACTGAGTTATTCTGCAGGTCATCCAATTTATTCGCCAAGGTTAAAGTCACCACTATACAGACTTTATTGTAAAGTAAGCTTCCCAAGATTTCCATCCACCAGATAATGCCCATTAATCCCTATCGTGATTGGGAGGTCTATATATTACTCCTGTGATTAATTTTTTCCCATTACTTATTCCCATCCAAATTGTTTCTGTAGTATTCCGCCAGTTTTTTATTGCCCCCCTCCCTGACCTGGGGCATCTTACAACTACCTACAGCAGACTGTGTCCCCCTGACCTGGGGCATCTTACAACTACCTACAGCAGACTGTGTCCCCCACCTGGGGCATCTTACAACTACCTACAGCAGACTGTCCCCCTGACCTGGGGCATCTTACAACTACCTACAGCAGACCGTGGTCCCCGACCTGGGGCATCTTCAACTACTACAGCAGACGTGTCCTCCCTGACCTGGGGCATCTTACAACTACCTACAGCAGCTAGCCCCCTGACCTGGGCATCTTACAACTACCTACAGCAGACCGTGTCCTCCCTGACCTGGGGCATCTTACAACTACCTACAGCGAACTGTGTCTCCCTGACCTGGGGCATCTTACAACTACCTACAGCGCCGTGTCCCCGACCTGGGCATCTTACAACTACCACCAGCAGACTGTGTCCTCCACTGACCTGGGGCATCTTACAACTACCTACAGCAGACTGTGTCCTCCCTGACCTGGGGCATCTTACAACTACCTACAGACTGTGTCCTCCACTGACCTGGGGCATCTTACAACTACCTACAGCAGACCATGCCCCCCCTGACCTGGGGCATCTTACAACTACCACAGCAGACTGTGCCCTCTGACCTGGGGCATCTTACAACTACCTACAGCAGGCCGTGCCCCCTGACCTGGGGCATCTTACAACTACCCACAGCAG